GGTGAGGTCATCTAAATGGTGCGGCTGGTCGCTGCAGAAGAGCTAGACTCGTCACCCGGCATGAACGCTCTGTCCCAGTGGACGCTTGGCGGGCACCGAGTGCTAGTGGTAAAGCCTATATCCTTAAGGATGCTACAAATTTATCCATTCCTTGTTAAAGGAAGCCGTGCGCGCAAACGCGCCGACAATTATTGACCGAATCACCAAACTTCTTGCTTCCGAGAGCCTGTAGCAGCGCTGTACACATATTGTCATCCGCTTATGCTGCGCGGATCAAATCCGTCAACTGACGACGTCACCGTCGTGACATGAGCAAGCTCATTGTCCGGTCTGCATGACAGCGAGTCAGCCAAAGCATTCTGCTATCCTGGCAAATACTTCGCCTTGAAATTATATTTTGCAAAATACGAGAGCCACCTGGTCATCCTCTGCGAGTGGTGAGGTGACTGAGTCGCAGTGCTTCGTGACACAGGATCTGTGTCGATCACAAACGGCTTCGAGCCAAGCAGGTGCGCCCTCAATTTGAAAGGTGCATACTTCGTCGCAAGTAATTCCTTGTCGTGGACTGGGTAGTTCCTCCCGCAGCCTTGAGCTGACAAGATCTGAACGCGATCACCCGACGTCGCCCCTCTGTGTCTGCTTGTAGCAGTGCATAGTCGTTCGCAAAGTCCGAAGCGTCACAGACAACACTAAAAGAAGGATTGGGGTGTGGCAACGCCAGTATCGGTGCATGAAGGAGGCTGTCTTTGACCCTGTAAAAAGCGTCCCGATGCTCGGTTTCCCAACACCGTTTTGAATTTTTCCCTAGGAGATTCGACAGTGGCCGTGCCATTTCCGTATAGCTTGCAATATACCTATGCAAGTAGCTGGCGAGGTCAAGCCACTTACGCAAGTCAATTGGTGTTTTGGAACCAGCTAGTCCACAATGACCTTGGCCTTAGCGGGATCTGCTCGAAGGCCACGCTTCTAATGAAGCATCATCAAATGGAAGCCTATTCGGCGCCAAAAATGTACTTGTCTGCATTAGCATACAGCATATTCGTGCGCATGCACTCGAACACCGCTCCTAAATGGGCGATGTGGTTTTCTCATCTGTCCTCCCGTGCTCCGCACGACTGTGGACGAAGAAGTCGTCGAAGTAAGTATGTCTGTGCATACGCCCGGTGGGGCCTGAACAACGCTTCACAAGACGATTAATGTTGCTGGTGACAGCCCTTGGGGCATCACCAGCCAATCCACTGAGCATGCCGCTCGAAATACTCACCGCTGTCAGCGGAATATCACTCGCTCTCATGAGCAATGAGAAATATTCGTCGACCAAGTCGAGTGCACTGTACTTTGTACATCCAACCATGTTGTTCCGGAGAAGATCCTTCAAAGAATTTGGCGTTTGTGCCGGAATTATGGCAGTATAAGTGTGGACGATACGCTACTTGCCGTTCGGCTTCCGAACACAAACGTGGGTTTCAATGGGAATACTTATTCCCACGCACCATTCCTGCGTCGTGCGTCGAACGGAAGAGGGCGTCAATGACGTCACACTTCGCCTTGGCAGGAAATCTTGCCTCGGACCTCGTCTGACCATGCCATTTTTGGCACGCAGCAATTGCTTCGTAAATTGAGGAGTGCTCAGTGGGTTGCGTGCGGCTCTTCGTGCATCACGAGGGCCCGCCCTTGATGCCTCAGCCTTTGGCCGGCCATGCCACTCTTGGCATGCAGCGACAATCCAATATTGGATAGCGCTCAGTGGGTTACGTGCCACTTCACGTTCATCCCGCGAGCCACGCTCGGGACTCTTGTCCATTACGCCTTGGTGTTTGACAGCTCAGATACTCCAGAATCAGCAGATTGACTGTCCCGGTCTAGTGCCTGCCAATAGCGCTTCTGCTTCCTAGCAAAGGTGGTTTCGTGACTGACCGAAACTCCACCAGGAGACGTGCGCGTAGCGCCCAAGGTCTTCGACCTCCAACCAATCCATGGCTCATCGTGTTCCGATCATGCCATACCAAGGATAAGATCATACCTTGTACCTAAGCCAGCAATCCAAGCTATCAAAGGCAAGAAACTTGACACTGAGGTCCACAGCGAACCTCTGCACGGAGCCATAAGTCTTTTTCGATTAGCGAATAGTGACGGTGTCACTCAACCGCGCTTCCAGCGCCTTAGCATACGGCTGACTTCCTTCGATCGTGGAGCGTCGAGCATCAATGTCCGACGCACCAAAATCGCTAAGATTTTTTTGTGGCTTATCAAACCCCATCACGGTCGCATTTACGACCAGCAAGCCCGGCTTGCACACACGTTCCATCTTGAAGAGCACGGAGCTTTTGGGGCTGAGCTCCGCTGCTCTCTACCTCTTTGAGGCATAACAGAATTTGATTCTTCCTCAGCAGGGCACTAGGTGTTCTCGTTTTCCCGCGTCAAATTAGGCTGGTTAGAAGCGTGCGGTCAGGTCGACGAAGCTTTACCCGCCTTGCGCAAGGGGCAACTCGTCTGAAGGTCACGGGTGTCCCCATAAACAGAATAACGTCGGGTGTCTACACGCTGTTCAGCAGCTCGAAAAACTCCCTTCTCATTCTCAGCATAGCTGAGATCCATTGGCTCAGGCCCGCAGAGGGTGTGCATTTCAGTTAGGTCGTGCCAACTTGAAGATGAATTCGGCATTCAATGTCACTTATACTGCTTCTTATGAAGAAGACGGGTGCACACGAAAGTATTCTATTCTGGTCACGTCAGTGTTGGGGCCCTCCATAAAGACGGCCACCGTGACCGCCTTGGAAAGAAGATCAGCTGCCATACCGGCAATAAGAGAACGCAACTCTTGGACAAAGCCTACCGACTCCTTCTTGCCCTATCGGACGGCAAGGAGGCGCGATCGCACGCGACGTGCCCAGTTAGGACACGAGAACACTCGTGATAGCTACAGCTTCTGCTTCGTCCAGGAGGAAAACGCTGCTTCGACTAAAGTTCCGCACGTCAGTGCCCATTCGTGCTTGACCCCCCGAGCTTGGAGATAGCTAATGCCACGCGCTGTTGCTTGTTCTGGAGTATGGCGGATGCCATAGCCAATTCGGCCTTACTTATCCAGGTTTATCCATCCTTACCCTCGAAGGTCTTGACGCTCACCATGAACGACCTGAGCCGGAACGTCGACGGTGGCGTCATTGACGCTGTCGACGCTGGTGGCTTCTGTTGTAAGCGCTCTAGCAGATAATTTTAATAGATTGTAGACGCTTTCAGGGCCAAGCAGAGACACCAGCTTTTTAAGCCCGGCCGGCATGCTCTGGGACAAATAGTAGAACTGCATCATCCTCACAGAGGGCCAGTCGGAACGACTCGGGTGTAGATTGGCTAAAAGTGCTACCGAGTGTAGCTGGGCTGCCGTAGCTCTTTTGCTTAGAGGGAGCTTAGTTAAGGTCGGCCACATTCGTTTTATACTTAGATCCAGTACGGGTGTAGCGGATCGCAATCCGCTTACTTCAAGAGTAACTACAACCTTAATCCAAGGCTAATAAGCTCTTCTGTTTAAAATGTAAACTCTATTTCTGGGTTTGATCTGCGGCAAAGCCGCCTATATAAAAATGTATTGATTTTTTATATAGTAAACCTTGTTAAATGTATGACTACTGGCTGTTTCAGCCATGCACTGCTTCTTAATTAAGTGTAGTTACACCATTTTGTGGTCGTTTCATCTTGCGTTACCGACATAATTGTGTGATCACACCACCTTGTGTAACCCCGTTAAAATGTTATGATGGTGCAATGGATTGTAATTGAAGCCTTATTCCGTGCGTAGCACGACACAGGAATGGTGCGTGAGAGCAAGTATCCCCATTCGAAACCCGCGTTTGTGTCCGGAAGGCGAACGGCAAGTAGCGTATTGTTCACACTAAAGATAAGCTCAACGCTGCCGCCATTCGGCACAGAAACCGATTCCTTTGAAGGATCTTCTCCGGAACAACATGGTTGGATGTACAAAGTACAGTGCACTCGACTTGGTCGATGAGTATTACCCATTGCTCATGAGAGCGAGTGATATTCCGCTGACAGCGGTGAGTATTTCGAGCGGCATGCCCTCGGAGTGGCTGGTGATGCCCCAAGGGCTGTCACCAGCAACATTTAATCGTCTTGTGAAGCGTTGTCTAGGT